AAAGAGTTGCACTGGCTGTGGGCTCAGGGCTGCTGGTGGGGCCCAAGCATAGGCTGTGACTTCAAAGAAGAAGGAAGAAAACTGCATCTAGGGAACCCTGGAATATTTCCTATACCAGTGGGACACTCTGGCATCACTCCATCCAGCAGACTAACAATTCTACATCGACAACCTGCAGCCACAAGGGGCAGCTCTTCCTTGATGAGTCTGGAGTGGCAACCAGAAGGAGGCTACAGCTGCACTCACAGAGAGAACCAAAACTCCCACCCTGCTCTTCTTACCCTGACAGTAGCAAGAGATTGCGAGTCCTGCAAGGCAACCCTCACTGCAATTGTCCTTGCATCTTCTAAGAGTTTCTTTGGGTGCCGAAGGATACTGTTGAACCTGACAGTGCGGGAGCACCCAGTAACCCTGTAAGTTCCTACCTTCCTCTCCCTCACCAGTAGTCCCTTACTCGCCACATTAACTCCTCTCTCTGCAGCACAAAGTAAGTGCTCAGCAGTTATTTTATCTTCCTTGTACTGTCTCTGCATTCTCTGCAGAGCAAGAGCTTCCAGCATCAGTGAAGACTTTGCTCATCATGGATATGTGCTCTCGCATAGTCTTCTGAATAAAAAAAGAATTAAAAAAAAAAGGCTTTTATTTCCCTATGGTCCAGGAATAACTTATACAAGTTTTAATTAACAGGCTTAGGACTACCAGACATAGCAAGAAATCAAGTAAGGTGAAAGAATAAATCCTAAAAATATAACCCAGGCAGAACCAACCCCTCTGGGCATGGGTGCAGGGCCCAGACCCATCTAGCATCCCAAAAACATCGTCCTGAAGAGGACTGGGACTATCCACCCCTAAAATGAAGTTTTGTGAGGAAGAATCAGGAGAAACCAGGGGGGAGGTAGAACCTGTGATGGCGTGTGTCACGGACGGCACGGTCACTGGGGATCCTCTCGCTCTCCCGCTGGTTAAAGGCATGGAGCCGGTATGGGTCCTCTCCTCCCTTCCACCTCCGGACACTCAGGTACCTCCGCTCTTCAAACTGATCCCAAAGGTCGTCCCAATCTGTGTCCGAGCCCTGTGCGCACAAAGTCAGCCCCATTAGAGAGAGGAGAGACTGGAGGACATCTGACCCCATTTTGCATGTCCTCCTGAGCCCCGCTGGAGGTTGGTCAGCCCCACGGCACAACCAAACATTGCAAGAGCAGGCTAACAAGGAGCAGCAGGCTGTCTTTGGTGTGCTGATTCAAGACCTAGGAAAAAAACCCCAAACCTGAAGACAGTCTGCCAATTTGAAATTAAAATTACTAATCTGAAGCCAAATTCAGTTCTCTGGTGGGTTCCCCTCTCAAACAGCACCATCTTGAGCAATACAAAAGAGCAAAGGTCTTGTTAGGGTTTCAATTTCTGTTCAGCTAAAAGCCAAAGATATTTTACACCACATGCTCCTTCTCCACTGTAATTCTTCAGGCAGGAAAGAGTCATCAGAGAGAAGCAGTTCCATCAAGCACAATCCCACATTTCTACAGTTGCATCCTGTCCCCAGGACCAGCTTCAGCAACAGGACCTGGAAGAAGGGGACAGCCTGATTTCAGTCCACCTTTGCCACAATAAGTCTCCCACCAAGGACTTCAGCCTACAGCAGGGAGAACAAGCAAGAATGTGCCCATGAGGTCCCTCTCCTTCAAAATGATGGAGGAGCTGCATTTTGGGGATACCCAACAGCTCTGACAGCCAGGTTTAAGCATCCCTTGGTGGCTTGGTGCTGTCAGGATTGGGGAGCAGTTCAGCATGGTTCAGATGATGAGTGAGCACAATGCAGCACAAATAAGATCTCATTGTTACAGAGATCTCTTGTTACAGCAGCACAAACTCTTTGATTCCAGCTGCGCGTGTAACTGAGAGATGCAAACACTTACAGATACTTCAGTCCTAAAGAAAATTGTAATTTTATCCAATAATCGGTCTTTTGTCCTTCATTTCTTTTTTTTTCCCCCTCCCCAGCTCACACTATAACAACACCGATTTTGCCTGCAATTATCACAAAATTAAGCTTTTTAAATGGGCAATTTTTATCTCATAATCTATTTTACTTGCATCTGGCAGTGCATTTTCTTTAGTCATAGGAAGCACAGGAGGGAGCACTAGTTCCTGATAGTGAATGGCAGCAGGGCCAAGGCAGGCGCTTCCAGCAACATGATGCTGCACACCACTCTGGGTCAGCAACATGAGCAACCTCAAAAAGCCAACAGAGCTCAGGGAGGCAAGGGCTCCAGAGACAGAGTTGTATTTATCCTCTCCAGGTGTGATCCCACAGCGTTCACAGGAGCTCCTCCAGCACTCAGCCCAGTGTAAGGAAGCTCAGAAGAAACCTCTGAGAAGAAATCACCCAGACTGGGAGAACGTTACTCAGGAACAGGAGGAAGTTATTGGATGGCTGTGAGAAAGTTATGAAAGCACCAAGGTCACAGCAGGTGGTTTACAAGGAGAATGTATGTAACCCACCTGCGGGCTTTTGGGAGGGCCAACGTACAGAGGGAATAAATATTATTTATGGTTTCTAAGGCATCTTGCAAAACATTATTTACTGCTGCAGTAAACGATCAGCAATAAGCGAGCTGACTGCATAGGAGAGCCACTGACAGCCTGATGTTTATAAGACTTCATTATGACCCTGGGAGGCCTGAGGCCATTAAAACAACTGCTGCAGAGTTGCAGCCCCTAAATTTTAACATTGTGAAGAAAGGTGAAAATTAGTTTTATCAAACTTAATAAGAAGAGAAATGGCTTTTAAAAGCAGCGACATAGCACTTAGGGCTGTTGGATGTGTGTATATACATTTTTTATGTCAATTAAAACAAATAGCCTTAGACCAGCTGGAAGGGGGCAAGCTGCAAGGGCAGTGAGGCTCTGACCAGGCCAGCAGAAGCAGGAGGGTCCTGGCATGTGCTTTGAGGTCTAGGATGGCATTTCCCCAGCATACACCTACTCCGCACTACCTACCTGCTACTGTGGGATCTCAGTGGTAAACAGACATGCAGTGGCTTATGCCATAGCACTTGCTTCTCATCCTACCCTGGATATACCTTGCATCCAAGGACTGCATTCTTCTTCCCACCACAGTGAATAAGTAATAGTCCTGTGAAATCTCTACCTGAAAGACATCAGCCCTCTTGGATTCCACCAAAACTCTCATTTTTGGGTCAAGGAACACTATCAATAGGATGGTTCTTAAATATTCTGAGATCAAGACCAAAATATGCCAAATAGAGATTTAAAAGTTATATTTATCACTCTCTGGCCACAAAACAAGCCCAGACATTGAGTTAATTTTCTCAGCCAGAAATAGGTATCCATGTCTGGTCATTTACTTTCAATCCACATCTCTTGTCCAAAATTTCTAGGTGTTCTTCAACTTTCCATCCTGAGATCCCACCTTCCAGCAAGGGTAACTGAAATTGGAGCAGGATGCTTGGACACACATGTGCACTGACCTCTGCAAAAAAATACCTGTTCAAAATGGCAAGGGAACACAAGGCCTTGGATGAAAATCTCCCAGCTACACAAGTGTGGAACACATGCATGTGGGAACTTGCCAGTTTCTCAGCACCTGAGCAGGAACAGGAAAAGCAAGTTAAAGGGTAAGGAGAAATCCCCTTTGCTCATCCAGGGACAGTAAATCAGTTACAGGTTACTGGATAAGGTCTTCATTATAATATTTCCGTCATGTATTATCACATCTTCCTCACACTAGAATTCTGTCTTGGGAGTTATTTAACTGATGTGCAGAAATCTAGATTTAATTTATTATGATCTAACTCACTTTAGAAGCCAAATTACCCTTCACTAGAAAAGGATCAAGTCAATACTCTACTTGCCTTTCTATTTATCTTCTAGAGGGCTTCCCTCTCCAAGTATCAGATTCTCTTTCTCTCATCTACTAGTAATAAATTTTCTTATTTTATTTTTGTTTTGTTTTGTTTCTTGGAATTACGTAATTTCTCTTTCAACATTGCAGTTTAATAGCTGATATTAATTATAGGAAACAGTCAATGCTGAGAAGAGAGACTCAACGAATGTGCGGAATGGAAAAAAGTATCCAAGGGGTAGCCAGCTGCTTTCACCAAACACATGCTGACCCTTCCAACACCACATTAGAGGAGTCCCCAGAAGGGTCAATGAGAGGGACGCCCCCATGCAAAGAGACCTGCACAAAACTTCTTGAGGAGAGGAGCTGCCATCTCACACCAGCACCCAGCCTAAAGCAGGGCTCACAGATAGCCTTCCCCTTTGCCAGCTCATTAAAGCACCCCCAAAATCACCCACTAAAGGCACCACACTCCCAAAATTACCTGCTGAAGGTAACCCTCCAAAACCTCCCACTGCTTCACTAGTGAAGGGCAAACAGCAAACTCACCCAGCAAGGACAGAGACGGCTTTTCACTGCAACTATACATTAAAGATCTAAAGCCTCTCAGTGCAAAGATGGAATTCCTCATCTGTCTCTTAAATCACGACTCAGAAACAAACAAAAAAAGGGAAAAAAAAAATTAAAGTGTTGCTGTGGGGGAGAGCAGGTCATTAGCAGCAAAACAACATATTTCTGGCAATTGCTAGTGCCTTGTTTATGTAGATTTCTGCGAATATGACATTTTAATGGTACAATAATTGTCTAATTACAGTACAGCTGGGATCACTGGAGCAGGAAGAAGGAATGATCGACTCAGCTGGTTGCTGCTGCAGGCCCACAGCATTCCCACGGGATGCTCTACTCCAGCCTGCCTGCACCCACAGGCAGCCCCCAGCACCCCTTGCTGGTACAGGAGGCCAGAGGAGACTGGATGCCAGGCAGGGAGCATGCACCTGGCAGAAGCACCTTGGCCACATTGAGATGGCCCAGTGGGGAAAGGGCATTTCAGGTGAAAATCCTGGTCTGGGAAGAGCTGGTCATGACCAGGGACAGGAATGTCACACTGGTCCCCAGGGATAGCCTCCAGCTGGCCAAGAAGAAAAAAAGTGGGTGGCATGATTCAAAAGCAGATTCTCATTCAGTTTCTTCTTTTGTGGCACTGTTTTAAATTAAAGAACTTCAGCTTTTGCTAAAATAAAAGTTGTTTCACTTTTGGAGTTGCCAAGCATTGCCAATAGACCAAGGTGAATGGGATGGGTACCCTGCGCATCCTTTAAGGAGGCAGCAAACCTAAAGAAGCCCACCAGGCAGGCAGGGAACCCCAGTCTTTGGCAGCCAAACATGCCTCTACCTTAGCCCCACTCACACCCTGCTTTCCCTGGAAAATGTCATCAGTACATAATCCTTAATCAAGCACTTCTGCTAAGTTTCCATCCTGCCTTCCTTAGGACTCAGGCATTAAAAAAGGAGGGTAGGGTAAAATAAAAAAAAAAAACGTCAGCCTAGGAAAAGCTCCAATATCAAGTGAAAACTCCAGAAACTCTGATACCCTATGGGATGTTGACTGCCACACTTGGCTGCTTCTCTGCCTCCAGGATGGTCAGATCACGTGTGCATGTTCAGCACAGCTCGGAGGCACTGGAGGCAAAGGGCAATCTTGCAGCAGGAAAT